TCCTTCCTTCCTTCCTTCCTTCCTTCCTTCCTTCCTTCCTTCCTTCCTCGCCAATCTTCATCGCCTCGCCAATCTTCATCGCCAATCTGCTTCGCCGATCTTGTCTGGCCAGCTCCGGATCGCAGTGTGCACCCCTGGACCTCAACCGCAAGGATCCGATCGCAGTGTGCATCCCTGGACCTCAACCGCAAGGATCCGATCGCAGTGTGCACCCCTGGACCTCAACCGCAAGGATCCGATCGCAGTGTGCACCGCTGGACCTCAACCAGATAGTTTGCCAGATAAAATGCCAGATAGAATGCCAAGTAGATTGCCAGATAGAATGCTGCAAGAAGATATGCCAGATAGTATGCCAAATAGTGGGTCAGATAGATTGCTAGATACATTGCCAGATAGAATGCCAGAAAATATGCCAGATAGAATGCCAGACAAAATGCCAGATAGAATGCCAGACAGTATGCCAGATAGTATGTCAGATAGATTGCCAGATAGAATGGCAGATTGAATGGCAGATAGTATGCTTCAAACACACAACCACAAACACAACCACAAGCTCACAACCACAAACACAACAATAAACACACAACACAAACACAACCACAAACACACAACTACAAACACAACCACAAACACATCCACAAACACACAACCACAAACACACAACCACAAACACAGCCACAAACACACAACCACAAACACGCAACCACAACAACACGACCACAAAGAAACAACCACAAACGTACAGCCACAAGCACAACCGCAAACACATCCATAAACACACAATCACAAACACACAGCCACAGCCACAAACACACAATCACAAACACAACCACAACCACAACACAGCACACAACCACAACCACAACACACAACCGCAGCACACAACCCGAGGACCCACAAGCAAAATCGAGAACTACAATACTCACGACCATGGCAACATGCTCCTCACTATGGCATCAAGTCAAATGATTGAAATGTCATTGTGGGGATCACTCGAAGTAAAGTAATTTGTATAATTCTTTCTTGGAACCTGGGATGAACTTTATTTAGGGTGTCCTAAAAGAATCATGATTTGATAGTACATTTATTAATCTAAAACACACACACATCTTCCGAACCCCAACCTGTTCTTAGATTCTTGGGTGCACCCATATCGTGATCAGCCATGCAGCAAGTATCAGCAGGTGGCAGTTTAAGTGGTTTTGTGTTTTTTTTGGCAGAGGCCCTCAGAAATACGTACAGTGTACTGCGACGAGCCTCACAAGCATGCCAGTGGCCCCTCTGAATGCCTTAACAAAAGCAAACAAGTTGTTCGGGCCTACATTCAACCCATCAAAAATTCAATAAACACCACCAAACACAGCAACACATGTTTCATCCTCTTGTGAACATCGTTCTTTCCAAGAACATCCTCACACACCTGCCGTCTTCTCACCCCATCCTGTTCCTTCTCACCAGCACCACCACCACGACGACTACTACTACGACTACGACGACGACGGCGACGGCGACGACGACGACTACTCCTACTGCTACTGCTACTCTGACTGCTAATTACTCCGGTCCTACTGCTACTGCCACTACTCGCATCTACTCGCTATCATTCCTGGCAATTCTTAAGTATGGCCTTTTCGCTCTTAGGTTGGAGGCCATCGCTATTACTGTAGGTTGGAGGCCATCGCCATTTTCGGCTCCTTTTTCTCTTGGGTTCATGAATGGCCAATGCACATCCAGCGGCCGCCGCTTCGCCCTGAAGGGCCTCCGCGCGTCCCCACGCCGCTGGTGTCCGGCGGTGACCTTGGGCCCCCCGGAGGTGGCCTTAGAGGCGTGAAGAGCGGAGGTGACATTGGACAGTGATGGTTGGGACTGGAGGACGAGTAGTAGCATGAAGCAAACACAAGAGCAGAAAGAGTATGTTATATAGGTGTGTTTTTTACTTATTTTTCTGGGTCGTTTCTAATTTGTTTGACTATTTGTCTCATTAATAGACCCTTGACCCACCACTACCTAGATACCATAAAGACATCCACAACCCCACAACCCTATGAGGCCATCGTCGCACGGTGGTGATGCCATCGTCGCTTCGTTCTTTTGCCACGAGGGACGATGCGCGCGCAGCAAAAAAACGCTTGAGAAAGGGGGCTGGCCAGGGACGGTTCTCCAGCCGAAGGGTGACCCAGCCTGAGGGAAGTTGACGTTCGACTTGTACTCATCTGATGAAAACCAAACAGCTTGGGGCCTCAAAACTTCACTGCTGGCGTCTTGAGAGTTCATCAACAAATTGTCGACACATTGAGTCCAAAATGATCCAAGATGATGCTGGAAAACACAAGAGTCAGTGATGGACACAAGATCCCATGTGCCCCAGTGATCACAGCTCTTGTCGGCGATGGTGCTGGAAAACCCTGCTAGCATCCACACACGCCCAGAAGCCCGCCACACACGCCCGCGTCCTACATGCATCACCTCCTGCTAGATTCTGTAATCATTTGACGAACACGAGAATATCTGGCCATTTGCCCATGCAAACTCAAGTCTATAAACAAGAATGGGTACATGGTCACAGAGTGGCATATAGTGTAGCGTATCTACAGGTATATAGTCATCATGGAGTAGATAGACTACGGCAAAATAGATTAAAATACATAAATATATATATATATAGGAATCTGGTCATGTTTTTGGATCGGTTCATATTCTATCTGCTCCAGGATGGATGTGTGGGGCATGGGCCACACAAACACGGCCTACTGTGCACCGCCGGGCGAACTGGGGAGGAAAGGGGGCTAACTATATATATATATAGATATGTTATGCTTAAAGAAAGGTGTACACCGCTTGCATAAGTAATTCTATGTCATGCAGCATGCAAGTACAATAATGCTGCTGGACAACACCTGATGCTACTTCATTGTTTCCACCATGTCGCATCATCCGATGTCTCCTGGTTCAATTTAGGCACATTATTCGGCTTGAAGACACACACAACGTTTACAGACGCACACAACGTGTTTCATTGAACAGACTTCCTCTGCAAAAAAGATGGCCACACCCGTGCTGGGTCGCCACAAGCATGGCACCGCAACTCTCGGTGCACATTTCTATGCAAAAGTTTTAAAAAGTCGGTGCCTCAAACGAGCGGTGCCGTAGCATTTTTTCCGGTCAGTTCAAGGTATGGAGTGGTTAGCCAAAAAGATCCACTGAAAGACTGACATGGAAGAAAAAAAACTTTGGAAGACGGTCCTTCTACACAAATTAGTGATCACATCTCTGAAGACCTTTGGAAGACGATCGCCAGTCTGGTTTACAAAACATGAGAACACAGATTTAAAAGCACCTGGACACCAGGTTCTCTTGTGGCACCACTCGAGTGCCCTTCCTAGTAGAAGCCCGGTTTGCCGGGCCACTTCAGGAAAGGATGTCTGCTTGTGTCAGCATGTCTCTTCCTGCAGTCAGCAAAATCGTCTTTCTTGTAAACAATCATTCAGCAAATCGTCTTTCCAGTGGATTCATACCTTAGAGAGTCCTTATTAAAACAAGGTGGATTCATACCAAACCTTCTGAGAAAAACTTCAAGGCCAACCCGCCGGCTTTAAAGGACCTGCTGGGATGGACGGACTGGACACTGACGTGAGGTACTCAGGCGACCTCGTCCACACGCGTCAGCATGTGAAACCTGCGGAGCGTGTGGATCCTTTGGAGATCTCCTGAAACCTGAATTGGTGAATCCCATGAGCACGTGAAACGTGAATCGAAAGCTGAAAGAGTTTTCCTCCTCGTGGATGCGCTGGGAACTCGGGACGGGTTGCCGATGTAGAACAACCAGGTCTTTGTGGGCACTTCCCATTAGCAACCAGTACATGAAGCGAAGGCTAAAGGGGTCGTGTTGCGGAAGAAATCCTGCACCGTTGAACTATCATTATTAGGGTTTTCAAAAAAGCCTTCCTGAAACTCTTGCTGCAGACATAGGTATAATGTCTCATACTGTCTCTTGTGCACGTCTTTTGAGACAGTACAGTTTGGGGTCAGGGGACGATAGTGTATGATTGTGATGGCCCAGGTAAAGGAAACGAACGTATACGAATGTGTTTTTTGATCTTTAGATTCATGCTCATTGTGCGACCAAAAGTTGAATTTTGAATCAAATTTTGAATATTTAATTTGGAACACTTTTGAGGACATTTGCTTACATTCTTACACAGTAGATCACAATAGTCTACCGCTTCCCCAAGTGTTCACTTCTGTCCAGGCTGGAAATTCACTTGTTTTGTCCAGGCATCCGATCCCATCTGGCACCGATCCCGCCGCCGCGCGATCCATCGGCGAGGCCTTCCCAGATCAACGCCCAAACCACCTGATTTGGCCTGCGGCGGTGGTTTGCGCGCATCCGCCGCGGTGATGGTCGAAGAGGAGTCCGAAAACGGAGATGACTGGAGTAGGTGGAGTACTCAAGAATGAGCCCGCAGGCGAAAGTGTGAGAAAACATCCAACGAGCAAAGCTTTATAGATCATGGGCCCCGGGAAGCTCTTGTTGGAAGCGGTGGGATGTGGAATTCGCTCCGGAGATGGCCTGGGGGTGTCGAACATATCAAGCGTCTACACCGATGTTGAAAGGAAGAGCGAAAACCAGTAGAAACCTGGAGCGTCTACACCTAGTTATACACCTATGTTATATAACTAGAGCGTCTACACCTCAGAAATCACTATACAATTCCTAGTTACCAGTGTATGGTAAGAGGCAAGGAGCAGTTCACCAAGTACAAGTACCAAGAGGCCGTGTATGAACACACTGTGACCAAAGTCAGGCCTGTTAAGCACGAGCAGCCAGGCAGCACTTTGGTACACCAGCAGCAGCAGCAGCAGGAACAGCAACACCACCAGAAACAGCACAGCAGACCAGCAACACCACCAGAAACAGCACAGCAGACCAGCAACAGCAGCAGACCAGCAGCAGCAGACAACAATAGCGCCAACTGATTCAAAGGCTGCCTCTCTCATTACGACTTGCATCTTCTGCATCACCAACTCACAAAGAATTGCCTCCACCCGAAATTAAAAACACTAAGTCTTCAGGGTTCGACATCTGCGCCCCCCCTCCCCTATAGACACCTCACTTCGTTCGCAAGAAACCAACTTCGGCCGTTCGCCTACGGGCTAGTTTGAGCCCTGCTTTCGTAAGGATAACAAACATAAACATCTATACAGCAATTAATTACAGAATACCTCAGGTTGCTCATATAAATAGCTTTCCGTAAAATACATCAGGTTGCTCCTATGTTAAAACTTAAACACACACCTCCTCTGGCAAGAGATTGATGCGCATCTTCCGCCTTCTCTTCGGCTTCCGGCACCATGATGCAATCCACGAAGTCCATGTCCCAGGCCTTGGACCGGTAGCCGGTAGCGGTAGCCACCGGGCTTCTTCGGCGTCCGGCGTCTGATCAGGTCCGTGTTTTCAGGACTCTGAAGTAGAGCTGAAGCTGTATGAATGTGATTGAATGTGTGTAGGAGGGAACTACCTTAAGCAAGAAGAAAGGTTCCTTCATTCACCCTACCTTACTGACTATATAGTGAGTGGAGGAATGGTGGTTCAGGCCAGAGATGCAATCTTGAGGACTCTCACTCTCTCTCCCAGACTCGCACTTCGCTGCACTGACTCACGCGCCAACTGCATGCGCGTCGCATCGCTCGTCCTCGACCCTCCAAAAGCATGCCGACCACGGTCATCCACATCCTTTGCACTCTCCAGCACCGTCCACCCTTCTCCATCCTCCCAAATCCTCCAAGAAGGGCTTCACGATCCTTTCGCCCCCACACCGCCCGTTTTGCCGCGGCGAAAAGCCCCGGGTTCCCCCGGCCATGTCGGTGTCTTCGGCGTCCGGAGGGCCCACCTGAGTTGGTTCGGTCGGATCCCACACCGCAGGCGGTTCGAACTTCACTTGGAGGGGAGTAGAAAATGGAATCATCTTCAGACCGTGAACCTCATGAACCCACCACACGATACTGCATCGGCCACCCCACCAAGTACGAGTGCCGGCTCTGCAGCGTCGCGGACGTGGTCGGCTCGATGCCCTCGACGATCACCACCACCTGCTGCAGACTCTGGTGGCGAAGGCAGGGTAGAGTGGGAAGACTCTTTACGTGCAGACAGATTGAAAGGAAGTCACATACACAATCAAATTGCAAGAGTGAATATAGGATGCGATGCTGTACATGTTCTATTTATATCTCTTTATATATTGTTTTTGTTGTCTTTTTAGAGAAGCCTTATAGAGAATGTGACATGTCTCGTATGTGTACGGAGCGGATGTGACATGTCTTGGTCTAGCTGTGTAGGATCTAGTTGGTCCATGAAACCCCGTGGGTCAATATGTGGCAGGACTGGTATTGCTTATGGTTCTCTTCCACATTCCATGGATTGGGATCCACCAAATCAACCATTCCAGTCTTGACCTAAGTCCTTGTCACGGGGCTGGCCTTCGAGCCCTACTTAGAGCCATGGAGTTGGAGCCGATCAAAACGCCCTAGAGCCAATATCACATATCCCTACACACAATTCCTCGCTACAGTCCTTGCTGTCAACCACGGGTCAGGGTCGGTGCCTTGGCCACCAAATACCTGTCAAACCTCCGTTGGTCCTCCTGCTCAAAAGACCTGTCGTCCCGACCACGGAGATGCTGGAGATGCCGGAGCAGGGACCCCCTGTCAGCTGGCACCTCCTTGTAGCTCCGAGCCAGGTATTGACCTTGCATGCAAGCCACCGGGGTTCCACACGATGCCCCCGTGAAAACAAGAGGATGACCAGGTGTTGGACTTGGGGAGGGATTCCCCAACGAATTGATGGGGCATCTTTTCTTCAATTGAAATTTATGGGGGTCCTACCATCTTCATGACCATGACCATGTTGTATTAATATGTAAAACGCCTTTTGCCTGAGGGGGGGGCCACAGCAAGGGGGTGGGCCGGTTTGCTGCTTTTTCAGACCAACGCATAAGGATGTGATAGGATGTGGCTTTGAACACGAAGTCCCCGCCAACCGCAAAAGGAACAGGTGCACCGAAAAAGAATCGATTTTAATATCTTCAAAGATGAAAGAACTAATTTTCCGCTTTCCGCGAGGGGGAACATGCACCACGCTTTCCGCTGCTCGCCAGAGCTGCTCGCCAGAGCTCCCAAGAGATCGGACCAAGATGCTGAGCTCAAACTTGGTGGGATCTCCTGGGCGACCCAATCGAGCCCACCCCCCGAACCGTGAAACCGTGTCTCCGAAACCCGAACAAACCCGAACAAACCGTGCTCGCAGCGAAGAGCACATGGCAGAACCCTTTCACAGAAAAGAGTCAGATTTCCGTGAAGTCTCCTCTCTTTCTGGGTTTCACCGATTACAGTAAAGTCTCCACAGCAAAAGACCCGTCCCGTCCCGGAGACGCGCATCGCGCGACAGGGGACCTGAGCAATGACACAAAGAAGGGCGAAGTGCCAAGAAACAGCGGTGAAGAATCAGCAGTTTACACTGCCATGACCACACACACAAAACAAACAAATACACACCTCACATCCAACACGCACGCTGCTTGCTGCTTGGGATTTCAAACATCTCCCAAGGTCTTGTGCTATACCCACCCCCAAGACCACCTCACTTGCCAGTACGTACTAGTTTGGTCAGTGATTGAGTATGGCTGTGACCCAACCACCGCGAATTTCACATTAAATCCAATGCACAAATTTACGTACCACTATGTATCTTGTACACACGCAGAGCTCAGCCACTGCAGACTTAAGTGTGGACCTTGAGCATGCTCCATGTGCTCTTCTTGCCAGCCAATTCTTGATCACATGGATCCTTGACTCCCCATCCTTTCACCTAGTAACAAGTGCATCGCTACTATAGTAACAAGGGCATCGCTATTAGTAACAAGTGCATCGCTATTAGTAACAAGGGCATCGCTATTAGTAACAAGGGCATCGCTATTAGTAGCAAGGGCATTGCTATTAGTAGCAAGAAGCTAGTAGCAACACGTGCACCGCCCAATATGGGCGGCCGCGTTGTCCCGCACCGCTTTGTTCCAGACGAGACTCTGTGGCTCAGCAAATCCAGAGCTCTCTGAGAGAGCTCCTTGTGGGATGCCTGGGGAATTGCTCGTTTGGAACGGGTTATGGGGCTATGGGGCAAGGGACGTGGAGCGGCGCGTTCTTTGGGAGCATGTTCAACTCTATCTGGATGCTAGCTATCCGAAACAAATGCCTGTGGCTGAGTATCATCAAAAGGCCATACAACAGCAGTTGCGTTCTTGCAGAAGAGACACAATATTATGAATGTATGAATTCTTAGTTATTAAATTCATAATAAATTCATAATGCATAATCCATAATGAATTTTTAGTTTGCGTAGGAATCCACTGAAGTTCACACCTTCGCCCAAGTGACCGCTCCGAAACTCACTTTGCCGGTCGGGCGTCGCTCGGTTTCTTCGGCCAGACGTCGCTAGTGTAGGACTCGGACCGCTCCGACAGGAGGTGACTTGTCATGTCTGCCCTCAGTTGAGTCTTAGACTTGTCATGTCTGGGCTTCTGGTGTCTGATGGAGTCAACTGGCCATACCGCACTTCGCGGCCATGGCGTTGGCCTTCTTTCCCCCCCGAAACCGCCCCCGGCTCCTCTTTGGGCATGCCGGAGGCCAGGTCGGACGCAGCGCTGTAGCGGCAATGCGACTTCAAGGTCTCGGCCTGATTTGGTCGGCGCAAAGCACTACTTTGGTCGGTGCGGACGACGGCTTGTTGACTGAGTGTTACAAAAGAATGGTTGACTGCTGATTTTCAGCAAGCACCCCGCAGATCAAGAATGGTAGCACAGTACATCTTCATAATTCTTCATGTTATGTGTTTCACCAATATTTCACCCATCTCATCTGTGCCAACACGGCATGCCGCCACAAAAATGGGGTATGGGGTACCCGTCCATCCGGTCACCATCCATGCCATACGTCATCAACTTGAGAGAGGAGGGGGTGAATGAAAGGTAGCAGGCAATCACAAGTAACCCTGGTAGAAGTCCACGACGGCGTGAACCGGCGCAGGGGGGATTTGATCCAGGGGGGGGGGGGGCCCCCCCCCCCCGACGAACAGAATCAACTCTTACAGGACCAAATTCAATGCACAATCCCAACTCCTGATTGTAATACATTTTTGCTAAAGCAAGGAGAACTCAGGTAGCTCAAGCTACCTTTCGTGATCAGCAATCTACCAAACATGTATATACCTTTCTTATCCTTTCTTAATATAGAGTAGCTATTATGTGGAGGCCATCGCTATTAGGTTGGAGGCCATGGTCATTAGGTTCCTTTCTTATCCTTTCTTGCCCTTTCAGACCTTTCTTTGGTCCTTTGTGTTTGCCAAGTCGCTGTCGGAAATGTTTCCCCGCAAGTGGGACAAGCACCTTCGTCCAGGCTTCATGAGAGGCTTTCGGAGCCACGGTCAAATTTTGCAAAGGAAGCGTGCGTTTTCGTATTTTTTTTCCAGGTGTTATTTTTTGGTGTGCTGTCGTTCTTGGTGGCATCCCATGTGTTCTCGTTGGTCTTTTTCAGACAAACCTGCTGAGATCCCCGTATGGTCATCGGTCATCGTGTTCGACGTAAATTCGATTCGTCCTGACTGGAGAGATTGTCTTCGAATCGTGAAGCGAACGTCAAATATATGTAAAATGGTGCACAGGGCCAACCAGGGAACGCCCAATTCTGTGGTTTCGGGGCAGAATGAAGGACTTTCTGCGGTCAGTGGGACCCAGACTCAGACGTTCTGATGGGTTGCATTGAAGCGATAGGAGCGAGCCCAGAGTAACAACACAACACATTTATATATATATATATATATACATTTATTTAAAGAGAGAGAGAGAGAGTGTGTGTGTTGTCCTGGTTATTTTACTGATCTTGTTGGTAAACATATCAGCCCATTGAAGCCAAGTTGTGGCCCCATCAAAATGAAGCATCACTGGAAATATGATGAAATATGTACCGATTTGCTACCCCTGACCTGGGGGTCGACGCCTGATTCGGTAACCAAACGGTCTGATTCGGTAACTATGATTCAGTAACCAAAAGCGCTGATTCGGTAACCAAAACATCTGGTTATCGGTAACCAAAACATCTGATTCGGCAACCAAAACCACTGATTCGGTAACCAAAACCCGCTGATTCGGTAACCAAAACTGCTGATTCGGTAACCAAAAACGCTGATTCGGTAACTAAAGCCGCTGATTCGGTAACCAAAACCAGGAAACCAAAACCAAAAACACTTCCAAAAAAAGAGACCGATGACCCGGGTAGTAGTAGTAGTAGTAGTAGTAGTAGTAGTAGTAGTAGTAGTAGTAGGTAGTAAGTAGTAAGTAGTAAGTAGTAAGTAGTAAGTAGTAAGTAGTAAGTAGTAAGTAGTAAGTAGTAGTAGTAGTAGTAGTAGTAGTAGTAGTAGTAGTAGTAGTAGTAGTAGTAGTTAGTAGTTAGTAGTAAGTAGTAGTAAGTAGTAGTAAGTAGTAGTAAGTAGTAGT